TGCGTGTGCGCACAGAATGCTCTTGCACTTTCGGGGGGATTTAAAATCCCCCCGAATTTTTTCCCCAACTTTTTGTATTTTTGTGCACATGTGGGGACTGGCCCACGTGTACACAAACCTCCCCCGCCCCCACCCAGCTGCCCCCGGAGCGCTGATTTAGCGATCCGCACTCCGGGGGCAAGTTGGGAATTAGATATATAGATATGGAGCAGAGGTCCATCAGTGGCTATTAGCCACAAGGTATAGATTGGGGCTCTGGGGCAAGTGATGCTCTGTCTTCTTGGTGCTTGGGGGGGGGTCAACAGTGGGAGGGCTTCTAATGTCCTGGCCCCACTGGTGGACCTCCTGATGGCACTGGTATTTCTGGCCACTGTGTGATACAGAGTGTTGGACTGGATGGGCCTTTGGCCTGATCCAACATTGGCGTCTCTTATGTTCTTATGTTCACTCCTTGGAGTCAAATAGGATCTTTATATCCCAGCTCCAGCCTTTCTTGGTAGTATGAGGAATAGACACCAAAAAGTATCCCTGCTGTCAATAGTTAATATAGCATGTATAAATATGTGGAATATTGACGTAAAGATATTACGTAGTTAAGTATGTAGGATTTCATAATTATGAACTGATAATAGGCATGTATACCAACTAAACAGAAAGCCTCTTTAACTTAGCCACTGCAGATATCTTTGCATTCCTTATTCCGAGCGGGTTTGCTCTTGTCAAATGGGAAAGGCTGAGACAATTGAGCACGTATTCGGTGGGGTACCAAGGGCAGGGCAGTGGGAGCAGTCCACCTCAACTGCAGGCAATAAGGGAGACCCCAGAAGCCTGATCTCCACTAGGGGTGTGAGTTCAGCTAAATTCGAGCCCAAAAAATACCCGGAAAATACCTTATTGCTATTTTTTGGTTATTGATTCAGCTGGATATCGATTTCGGATATTGGTCGTCTATCCAAAATGGCCAAGCCACCAAAATCCTGAAAATACTTGAGGTTTTCAGGACCACCAGATAGATGAACTTAAAGGGCATTTAAAGGGATTGCGGTCCCTTTAAATGCCTTCTCCAAGCCGCATGACTCCGCAGCTTAGAGCACTCAGAAGGCGTTTAAATGGCTTGCAATCCCTTTAAATGCCTTTGGAGTTCTCCAAGCTGCGGAGTTCTCCAAACCGCCATTACCATTCCCTCCCTGCCCAAACCCCGCAGGCTTCACCTCCCCCAAATCTTCAGATATTTCCCAACTTGGAGGTGGCAACCGTACCCTGACCTCATGGAAGGATGGGATAAAAATGTAATATTTAACTTCCAACTGCAGCTGGGGATCACATCTTTCAGTGCCCCCCCCCCACAATAATATTGTTTTTTAAGTCCCCGCAAATGGAGAACTAGCAAGTCAGGGATAAAGCTTGGCTGAAATCTTTAACCCATGACAAGCACTGTGCTTTCAAATATTCTTCCCAGACCAAAGTTGTTATTCCTCAGCTGCAGTCTGAAGGGGTACCGTTCTTCAAGAGTCTCCCTTTGCCACAGTTTGAATTGGCTGCTTGTCTTAAATGGTCTGTGTAAATGAATTTTGGCCTTAGGGTTCTATGAAAGTTAAGACCACTAAATGTACAGTGTAGGTACTCATTTAGTACAGGGCCATCATGGCACCTACTGACAGCACTCCCGGTGCCCGCTGATATCATTCCTAGAGATGTAAAATTTCCGGAAATTTTAAGTTCGGAAAAAAAACCAGTTTTTTTTTTTACAGTTTTTTTCAGGGGGAAATGGAAATTTTCGGAGAAATTGAAAAAAATGCTACATTAGCATTTCTTTTGTCTTTTTCTAGATTGAAAGTCATTCTGTTACTTTAGGAACATAAAATATGACTGTGGACATTTTTACGTGGCATGAAATTATCACAACTAGCATATTAAAGATATAGCGTACCCAAACAGTTATTACAAACAGAATACCCACCCACATGCAAAAACAAAACTGAAACCTTTTTATTTTCTTCTGACAATAGCACCTCCTAAAGGAAGAAATGCATCTTGTTCTTGCATTGGAGAGTTCAGTTTGTAACCTAGGACTTGCTTGTCCTCAGTGCACAGAAATTAGATCAATCTGATACCATATATATATTTGAACACCTTATCTTAAAATATTTTATTCATCATGTTAAAACAAAATGTTCCATAATCATTTTTTTTTCCTTTTCTTTTTTCAATTTTTCCAGTTTTTCGGGAAAAAACAAAAAAGGCTTCAGGGGAAAAAACGGGAAAAAAACAGTTTTTCCCCAAATTTTCCCGGTTTTTTTCCGAGCCTTCACATCTCTAATCATTCCTGGCACCCGCCAAGTCTTTTTAGGAAGTGGGTGATCTCTTTTGCCCAGCAAGCCTTCTGACTGGCACTGGAGACTGAATTGGCTCTGCGGGTTTTTAAAAAACTTTGGCAGCATCTTTTACCACAGCACAAGGATGTGTGACTGAAGCCTGCAGCAGCCATTTTGTGGCTGCGTCCATCATGCGGTGTCAGAATTCCAAAAGTGCTTGCAGGCTCAAAAAGGTCAGGGACCAATGCTCCCTCTAAGCTGTGGAGTCTTGTGAGCAAAAATCCTACTCTGTGAGCTACTGGCATTAAAGTTGCGAGCAAGGGATTTGGCTACTGCATAAATTCGTTTGCCCTGGAGCCCCATCCTTCTCGAGTTAAGACAGAAATGTGTGAGCTGGAGGCTAAAAAACTGTGAGCTAGCTCACACTAACTCAGCTTAGAGGGAACACTGTCAGGGACCCCTGATTTAGTACATCAAATGCTTCGGAATATTTTGCATTTAAAGAGTTTCTTCCTCGAGATCCAAACCTGGTTATATGGGGGATTAGTTCTGCTCATTGGATCCATTCTCCAAAGCAAGCACTTTACTGCTTTGTTGTATGGACTCAGGCAATCTGGCTAGTAAGGGCTAGGACAAAAACAGTACTGATATCCTAGCAGAGAAGAAGAAGATGAGGAGGTGGAGGAGGAGATTAGATTTATACCCCGCCCTTCACTCGGAGTCTCAAGAGTGGTTTACAATATCCTTTCCCTCCCCCCTCGCCACAACATACACCCTGTGAGGTAGGTGGGGCTGAGAGAACTCTTGAGAGAACCACTCTGACGGAACTATGGCTTGCCCAAAGTCTTCCAGCAGCTGCAAGTGGAGGAGTGGGGAATCAAACTTGGTTCTCCCAGATCAGAGTCCATGCACTTAACCACTACACCAGTTTAAAAAAAAATCTGTCAGGTTGTAAAGAACTCTTCCAGCCGGAAGCTGTTGTGCTAATTAATCATCTTTCCGCAATACTGTCTATAAACACTTACTCTGGAGAGGGATAACATGCATAGCTGGAAGGATAGGTTTGACCGCGAATGTAAGAAGAACACACAGGGCATTTGGGATAATCCACGCTGATAGCTGCAAAACAGGATTTAAAATCTGTTCAAAGAGCAAGCATGTAGCGTTGATATAACTGGATTTCTCAAAATGTCACTTGAGTTTCCTACAGCATACTGTAAGACCACTGAAATTTGTATATGATCAATCACCAGTATGTCTCCACCACCCCCATACACAAACACATACATGTCTCCGCTTTCTAGCTGCCTCCATAGAACTTACAGCTCGGGTTGCCCGGTCCCCTCGCCATGCCAGCTGGAGAATTTGGGGGGTGTTCCAGGACATCCCCGATGCCATGACGTCACTTCAGAAGTGATGTCATTGCGCTGGCGACATCGCACCGTGACGGTCTGATTTGAGGGCAAAACTCTATGGTTTTAGGCCAAATTTGCCATAGAGTTTTGCCCTCGAAATAGAGCATCCTGTGTGACATCCCCGGCGTGATGATGTCACTTCCGGGTGATCTCATCACATTGGGGACATCATGTGGGCATGTGGCTGTTTGGGGGTGGGATTTCCCCCGTCGGCCAGCTGGCTGGCGGCCGGCTGAAGCTCTGAAAACCGAGGGACTGATCATCCTACTTGCAGCTGACCAGGGGTCATCTAGGGTTGCCAGTCTTCAGGAGCTGCCTGGAGATTTCCTGGTATTTACAACTGATCCTCAAACGATAGAGATCAGTCCCCCTGTAGCAAACGGCTGCTTTGGAGGGTGGACTCTATGGCATTACATACCAATGAGGCCCCTCCCCTCCCCAAACCCCACCTTCCCCAGGCTCCGCCCCCAAAGTCTCCAAGTATTTCCCAATCCAGAGCTGGCATCTCTAGTGTCATGCCAGTGGGATAGCCTAGCAAGGGGTAATGAACTTCTATCTCATTCATGCACACGTACCCATATACACACACTACACCAGTGGTGGCGAACCTTTGGCACGGGTGCCAGAGGTGGCACTCAGAGCCCTCTCTGTGGGTACGCGTGCCATCGCCCCAGCAAGGCCCAGACCATCATTAAAGTGTCGAATTCTCTGCCAAATAATTTTAAGTAAATGAAAGCGTTTGGGGAGTCTGCAGGGCGGCACGGCACTAGCAGTCACATCGGGGGAGCTCCCGAGTGACTGATCGATTCTTCAGTTTAAAGGGGTCTCCAAACCAACGGAGACCACCCTGCACCCCGGGGAAGGGGTTGTAGGGAGCAAGGAGCTTGAGTTAGGGGTCCTAACAAGGGAGGCAACCCGTTAGGAGACCCCAAACTTGCTCTGAAGCAAGCCGAAGAAGCGAAGCTCACCATGGTGGGCAGGAGCTGTTGCTATTGCGGAGAAGCCAAGAGGAAGATAAGCGATTGAAAATACAAGCGTATAACAGTGAGTCAAGTGGAAACTTTTCTGTGTTTTCAAGAAAAGACTGTCATGATTGTTAACCCCAAACAGACTGGAATTCCTCTCCCCAATACTACTCAATCGGCCAATAACGGCAGGGAGGTCATTCCAATTAATCCCATGGTTTTGGCAGAGTGGTGGGGAAATAAAGGGGTGAAATACCAACATATTAATGGAATATCAGTATTGCCGTGTTGGCACTTTGCGATAAATAAGTGGGTTTTGGGTCGCAGTTTGGGCACTCGGTCTCTGAAAGGTTCGCCATCACTGCACTTCACTGTTCCCAAGGAGTAATGATTACTTACAATTCGTAGTAAGAAGATTGTTGTATTTTTTAATATGCAAAATGTAGACAAAATCTCTTGGTGGAACCAGCCCGAAGCCATAGCTGTGGGTAACGCTGTGATAAATAGCAGTGTCCTGCAATTACATTTTTTTTAAAAAACAAACAAACCGTAAACAAGAATCCTACAACAAATCAACACGGGGTGAGTTCGGATTGCCTAGAGATGTCCCAGAATTACAACTGATCTCCAGACTACAGAGATCAGTTCCCCAGGAGAAAACGACTGCTTTGGAGGGTGGACTCGATGGCACTCTATTCTGCTGAGGCCCTTCCCCTCTCCAGATCCTCCCATCCCCTGGCTCCGGGCCCCAAATCTCCAGGAATTTCCCAATCTGGAGCTGGCAGCCCTAGCAATTCTATCCCATTGAAATCCATGGGACTTCCTTCCGGGGGCTCTTTTTCTGGGGGAATGTGACGGAACGGAGTTCCGGAACCCCTTCGACAAAATTCGTTTTAAAATGTTTAAAAGTTTGAGAGTTTTTGGTATACAGATCGAAAACTTCATTTCCCCCTTGAGAGTTTCGGCACCTCTTTTTCCATAAAAAGGGCCCTGCTTACTGCCGCAAAAAGAAGTCCCAGTTTCTGATGTTAAATTTCCTTGCCCAAAAATTGCCCATTTTGGATTCTATGTTGTCAAAAAAAAGGCTCTCGCTGTTTGCGTCTGCAGGCAATCGACCACTGGCCTAAAGACCAGAATCCTTGATGCTTCCTGTTTCTGCCGAACATTTGAGAGGCTGTTGCTCCACATCCAGGGGCTTTGGAGAAAATTCAGGGCACTCTTT